CTAGCGGCCTTCCTGAGGGTTATTGTTATGGGTCTACACCTCTTTAGCCAGCCTGACCGCTGGCCAGAATGTTGACCAGCCAGACAACCATAAAGCAGCAGGGCTCGGCCGCTGCCCCCCAGGCCTTTCCCCCCCCCTAAAAAAAAGCTCTGGGGTTTTGCGGGACTCCCAACCGGTGACGTTTTGCCTCCCTGCCTTCCCCAGGCTGTTGTTCGGCATCTCCTCCGGCCCCCTGCCCGAAGGGGCGTTGCTGGAGAGCCCTGGGAACGAGGGCCTGGCGGACTGGGAGCTGGACCGCCTGCTGTGGAGCCGGACGGTGGAGAATGTGGCCACCGTCTCCACCACGCTGACCTCGCTGGCTCAGCTGCTAGACAAGATCGGCAACATTGTCATCAAGGATGCCGTGGCCTCGGAGGTACGGGGGGTGGGCAGCCTTGAGGGTCAGGAGGGTGGGGGCTCAGGGGTCCTCAGGATGCCCCATCGGTGCTCTTGCCCTCCTCCCGCAGGTCTACCACGCGGTAGAGTCTGCCCGGCGGGCGATGACAGAGCTGAGCCTGGGTCGCCTGGACTCGGCCTTCCAGGCCAGCAAGGCTGCGGCCACCTCGTCCGAGCGGGCCTTCTTCGACCCCTCCCTCCTGCACCTGCTCTACTTCCCGGACGACCAGAAGTTTGCCATCTACATCCCGCTCTTCCTGCCCATGGCCGTCCCCATCCTCCTCTCGCTGGCCAAGATGGTTTGGGAGAGGAAGCAGCGCCGGAAGGAGCCCACCAAGATGGACTGAGGGGACGGGGTCTCTGGACGCCCGGGGAAGCGTAGCAGACTCTTGGCTGGGCAACTACCCTGATAGTGGTCGGCCCAGACAGCATGGCAGAGTTCCCCATTGGAGGAAGAGGGAGTTGAGGTTTCCACAGGCTGCCCCTCTTAAGGGAGCGCGTCCCTTTCGCTGCGAACGAGCCCAAAGGACTTCGGGAATTCTCCTTAATGCTGGCCAGGCTGGACGGAGAGGCGACTCCGGCTCAAGGCTCAGCTGCCAAGGGTGCTGGGCGTTTCCCTCCCCTGAAACCTGCCCAGCGGATGCCCATAATGGAGCGGAAGGGGGAGATCCCCCCCTTTGCCTCCCGAGCAAGCATCGGACCGCTCTCCCATTAAAGTTGCGTTGGCTGACCGGTGGGAACGCTGAGCCTCTTTTGCAGTTCGCTTCTGTGTTTTTGGAGCAGGGAAGGGTGGGGAGCAGCCAGTGTGGACAGGCCGCTTGCAAACAGGGAAAGCTAAAATAGGTCTCGTTTCATGACAAGAAGGATCGGGGAGACAGGAGAGCAGCCTTCCAGTATCTCAGGGGCTGCCCCAAAGAAGAGGCAGTCCAGCTCTTCTCCAAAGCCCCCGAAGGCAGGACGAGAAGCAACGGATGGAAACTGACCAAGGAGAGAGGAGCAACCTGGAACGAAGGAGAAACTTCCTACCAGGGAGGACAGTTAACCAGCGGAACAGCCTGCCACCAGAAGTTATGAACGCTCTGTCACTGGAGGCTTTTAAGAAGAGATTGGACAGCTGCTTGTCTGGAACGGTTGAACAGGGGGCCTTGAGTAGGGGGGCTGGACTAGAAGACCTCCAAGGTCCCTTCCAACTCTGTTATTCTATTTATATTCTATTCAGCAGGTTGGTTGATTAAATTTCTTATGCTGCCCAGCCCCCTGATACAGAGGACAGCTTATAATATAAAAAGTAAAAAAAAATGCTGGGTTTTAAGCAGCCAAGGAGATTCTGGGGGTGTCCAAACTTGCGGCCTGTGGGCAATTTTATTTATTTGTCTCTTGCATTTATTCTTTTTACAAGTAACCCAAGGCGACAAATATATCCGATATACCTTCCGTTTCCTCTTTTCTGCATCACAGCAACCAGCTAAAAGTCACCCAGCTGAGGTTTGGGCCCAAAGCAGGATTAGAACTCACAGCCTCCTGGTGATTGGCCCAAAGTCACCCAGCCGGCTTTCCTGCCTAAGGCGGGACTAGAACTCCCATTTTCCACTCTGCGGCCCTCACCACTAGACCAAACTGCCTGTCTGACAAGTTACCTTGGGGGATCAATAGAGGATCAGTGGATCCAACCAAGTCAGAGACACCGTAGCAGCGATTCTGGGCCCCAACCGTGGAGAAATGGTACACACCACATTCATAAAACGGCATTGCAGCCTGACCTCGCACCCAGATCCCTGGGGAACAGCCCAGGACTTTGATGCCGACCGATTGGGGGTACACCTGCACCTGTTGGGGTTGCAGAGGGCAGGGGCTACCAGAGAGAGAGGACACCACTGCAGGGTCCCACTTAGTGGCGTTGCTTGATGGAAGGGGTGCAAGGCAGACCCCCCCGCCCCGCCATATCTGTGGAGCTGCGGTGGTGTTGCCACAAAGAGCTGTACGCCGTTCTGCACGGATCCAGAAATGAGGATTTGCAAACGGAGATTTGCAGTCTAGAGTGGGAATCCAACCTTGGCCACGTTGAGGCTTGTGGACTTCAACTACCAGGATTCCCCAGCCAGCAGACCGGAGGGTCTCCCACCTGGGGAATCCTGGGAATTGAAGTCCAGAGGTCTTCAAGGGTGGACATCTCCGGTCTAGCTTGTTTGAAGTCAATGTGGTTGATTCAACAAACCAGGATTCAACAAACCTGGGACTGGCTCCGAAGAGGCCGGAGGGTTTTGGAAAGGCAAGGCGACTTAGCAAAGAGAGAAGCATCCCAGGCAGATATTACAGATGAACAGAGTTGGGAGGGACCTCGGAGGTCATCTAGTCCAAACCCACCCACCCACCCACCCCGCAAGCAGGAGACCCTAGACCCCCATTTCCGACCGATCTCTTCTTGAAAACCTCCAGCGGCCGCGGGGCAAGCCCACCCACCCACAAGCTGAGCCCTCTGCACATGCCCAGGGGCCGCTTTGCCCCGCCATCCCTGGACGACCAGGGGCGTGTGCACCCCCCTCCTCCCCCCTCCTCTCTCTCTCAGCCGGTGGGCGGCGCTCTGCACGTGCTCCGGGGCGCCCTGGTCCTCCCTCCGGGGCGGAGCCCGGCCGAAGGGGAGGATTTGCAGCCGCCCAGGGCTTAGGCCGGGCGGACAGGAGGGAGGAGGAGGAGGAGCGGAGGCGGCGGCCGGGTGCGCGCAGCTCCGAGGGCTCCAGTCTCGGCGGCTGCAGTAGCAGCAGCATCTGCACCGGCACCGGCAGCGGCAGCGGCGGCACCATGAAGGTGAAGAAGGGCAGCAGCGGCGCCGCGAGCAACGGGGCAGCCGGAGCGGGCGCAGCCGCCGCCGCCACCGCCGGCCTGTGCACCGAGGAGGAGCTGCTGCGCAAGGCGAGCATCAGCCCCGAGGACGTGCTGGGGCTGGGCAAGATCACTTCAGGTGAGGCGGGCGGCGGGCAGGCTCGGGACCCCCGCCGGAGGGAGGGAGGGAGGGAGGGAGCCAGCCGGGCTGCGCTGCGCCGCCGCGGGCGCCTCGGGCGCAAGGCGCGCAGAGCCTCCGGGGGGGGGGGGGCGGTCCTGAGAGGGGTCCCCCTCCTCCGGCGG